GGAAAGAGACAGCATTCTAGGCTGTATGAAAGTCTGGAGGTTGAAATCTTTGCATGTTTCCCCAAAATCTGGTGAATCGGAGTGAACTTTTATACATGTTTCTCAGCCTAAAAATGTACGCTCTGTATTCCATCTCACTGATTCAGAAATAGAATGTGTAGTACCTCAGAGTACCTTTACATTGCTTTCCTAGATAAATTTTTACCTACAACAGGGAAAAATTTCACATCTCTCAGGTTGCACATCAATTGTCAGTTTGTAGGATGTGCTGCATTTGCCAACTCTGTACTAAAGACACATACCTATTGTTGCCACATCAAGGAAGGACTGAAGTGCCCTCTGAGCTATGCAAGATTAAACAAAGTATTTGAGAATGAAGGGGAGATGTTCTGACTCAGCACAGAAACTGTTTTTTCCCAAGTCCTTAAAATGTTATATAAACAGGAAGTCAATTAGGTATCAGGAAATTCCAGAGCCTTTAGCTCAAAGAAAGCCTAGATTAAAGGACACAATTTACATATCATCCTAAGGCAAAGGTCTGCCACTGAGAATACCTTACTCTCAATTTCCTCAAATGTAACTTGAGGAATAACTATCTCAGGTGTCAAGATAGAGCACTCTATTCTCCTTTTTAAGAGGGGAAATAAAGTAATCAAAAAAGCTATTACATGTACTTGATTATACCAGGAAGTGATTCAAAGTTAGGGAAACTCACTGCTTCATTACAAATCATACCCTATCAATCACTGCTTTACACAAGACCTCCCTAATGAAGCAGGTTCCGGCTTCACAAACTAAAAAACAAAGTGATCTGCTTGAGGTCACAATGTTACAGAAAAACCCCATGTGTGATCATCACCATCATCTCAGGCTGTGTAATTTTCAAGTGACTATCAATGTTTCCACTGATTGCTTTTAAACTGCTTGAAAAACAGTTTATTGAAAAACACACACACACACAAATAACCCAGCACTCCTCTTAAAGCGTGAGGCAAGCAACAGTGAACACAGGGCCAGACACAGTTATGAACTGCTCCCTCTCCCTCCCCCCTAAAATAAAAACTTCAGAAGTGAAAACACAGATGGGAAACACTTATGTTAGTGATGTTTGACAAAAGACATGGTATTAGTACAGTAACAAACATGCTATAATAATCAAACTAGTCTACAAGTGACTCTAGTCACTTATTCATTAAAAAAAGCCTTTATCCATAGCTTATTAATCATGATATCAGATCAGTTTTACAATGCTTTTCCCTTTCTTATTCCTACAAAGCTCTATGTGATTGAAAGGGAAATCTCTTGAACAGATCTCTTCTTTCTAAGTTTTGCCCATTATGTACCTCCAAAGCCAAGGCTGTCTTGTCGTAGGCATTAGGGACTCGCTTCTGGATAACCCGGGCATAAATAGGGCCATTCTGGAGGTTAGGGAGCGGAGTGTTGATGCTGGGCTGGGCATAGGGCCCTGGCTCCGGCCCACCCAGTGGTTGTGGGTGGGAACTATCCTGGTTACCTCCAATGACAGCAGATACTGAAGCAGAGGAAGGTCTATACTTCTCGACGTAAGGAACAGGTATCATTCCCCTCTTTCCTTCGCTGTCTTCTGCATTCCACCACTGCTCTTCAGGCTTATCCCGGATTCTCAGTATGTCTCCTTTCTTAAATGGAAGGTCTTCCTCATCGTTGCCATTAAAGTCAAAGAGAGCTCGCACATACTCAGCTTCCTCCTGCCTGAGGATAACACCACTATTCTGCCTGGATCGGGAAACTGGTTCTATCAAGGTTGTAGTGTCCAAATAGTGTATTTTGTAGAATTCCAGCAAAGATGGCAAAGAATCAAACTCTTGGTCACCTATTCGAAATCTGGTGGGATTCAACCCTGAAAGAAGAAGGCAACATGTCAAAGAGAGTAAACAACAGGTAAAACAGTAAACGTAATATTTGAGAAAGTGAATATATTTACAGATAAATAATTTGAGATGCAATTTAGATTAGCGTTCATCATATTCAGCTCTTCTGTATCTTTCTCATCAAAGACAGCACTATCATGATCACGAGGACAATTATATTTTTAAAGATGTAGTCAAAGAAGGAAAAAAGACATTGTTTGGTACAGCCAGACTTCCCAATTTAAGATAAAAATAACTTGTTTCCTTGAATGTTCTAGGAACCCAACAAATAAAAATGTTCAGTGTACCTGACTCTCCCAGGAGCCTATACAATTCTCAGTAACAGACAACTCTCTTTTCCCTGTTTTACACTCTTAAATCTAGAAAGCAAATTACATTTTGGTATATTTCAAGGAAGTGAGCTTTTTTTACACTTTTTGCAGTTCAAAGTTATTTCAAAAGTATAACTACAGAAAATGCTTAGCACAGAAGCAATCAATGTATGTGAATGAGCAAATGAAGTTATTTGTCATTTTGATAAAACACACCATTAGAGAAAATTATGTATATTTTAGGCAATGCAAAGCAACAACCTATGTTTTCATTATGGGTATAATTCAGTCTTTTAATCTCAAGTCTTGTAGTTTCTTAGCCATGTTTATCAGATGGAGCCTAAGCTATAAATCCAAACCTCACCTACACTGAAGTACAGACAATGTTCACATTCAAGTCATTACAAGTACTCAAGTGCAGCTATCCATCTCAGTTTTCAATCCATGTGCTGAATTTTCCAATGTATGTTCTTCAGGCTCAGCTGAGGAAAAAGATCCTCATGATGTTCTATTTCCACCAAGCACCACAGACTGTAATCAGTTATGGGAAGCACTGTGTAAGGCTGGAGGAGGGTAGTGAAGAGGAAAAGATTTATACTTTAATGAGAAACTCTTATAGCAAGAAAGAGATGCTTACTTTGCAAGTCTGTTTCTCTGCAGGGAATATCTAATAGTTCTGAGACTTAGCTCTCAGTACACAGCTAGCAGAATTCTTCAAGCTGTCACTGATCCAAACCCCTTCAAAGTAGCACTGTCAGCATGGAAAGCTAACATTACAAGAAGTTCTTTCAAGAGAGTAAAAAAGGGTTCTAATAGAGAAAAGGGCAGATTCCATAAGTTCAACATAGACAAACACCCCATAAATAAGTTTTGAAGTATCCTGAATGAACATAAACATCAGAGAAGCTGGTTACAGGAAATACAAAGCAGCAGAACCAAGTCTCTGGAAATGCACATTTGCATGCACTAGCAGCCCTGAAAGACTTTCAGACAAAATCAGCACTAATGCAATGAGCTGAAAAACAAGAGCAATACCCGCCAAAAATTACAAAAAACAAATCACAAACTGGCATCACCAAGAGATAACAAAGCTAACGTAAATATCAGTAAGAAACACAAAGCCAGCATAGAAAGAGAAGCAAGATTCCACCTTGTTCTTCCAGAGCATAATGCTGAAAAGATGCAAACCCCCTGAGCTTTTGTTGATATGATGTAACTTCCAGCTCTGGACTTAGCAAAAACTCTAGAATTTCATCTCAGTGGAAGTTCTTAGCTCTGTGGTCTCAGAGGTGACTTCTGGCTGGACAGGGAGCATCCCTAGAGCACTTCAGAACAGCTCAAGTCCACTACATAAGCCTGCAATTGGATCTGGGAATACTGCACTTCAGCAAGCATTCCAAGTGGGAAACCAGGCTTCACCACCAGTCCTGTAGACATGGAGTTTCAGTCAGACTTGGTGACAAAAAACATGAGCATGTATCTGCTGTTATTGTAGATGTGAAACTTCAAGGGTCAAGACTTATGTATACTCTTATATCAAAATCAAGTCATAGAAACTTTAAGAGGATCAGGACAGCCAAGATCTTTGAAGTCACACAGAAAAGACTGAATCTCAAGTAAATTCACTACATGGAACTTATTTCATTTGACACAAATCTAGAACCTGAGACACTAATTCACCTCTGTAAAACCTTCTACAAACTGACTCGCTCAGGGGGCTGGTATTTCCATCTCCAGCAACATAAATGTACACAAACAAATCTTAAAACTCGTGGGAAATGAGCAGTTCAACAGGAACATTCATCAGCATTGTCAGCACCAAAATTATCACTAGGATGAGCAAGGTTATCTGAGGTGCCTTTTTATTTTCCCTTTTGAACATGTTCACCCTCTTGAACTAATGTATAACAGCCTAAAGAGCTGCCAAATGTACCTGAACAAAACCAAAGTTAGACTCTGAAGAGGAAAGTCCACTAGAGTCTTACGTATGGGGAAGTGACTGAAATCAGTGTCCTGTATCCTGGAAAATCTTGTTCCAAGACATTTTGAACAAGTGAAGACAAGTAAGAGAACACAAACCCTCCAAATACATTCTATAAACAGAAAGATCAGTGCAGTCCTTGAAGGGACAACTAGATAAGCAGCAGTAAGAAGAGACACTATCTTCACAAAGAGAACACTCCCCAAATACCACATGCACTTCTCATGCTTTTGTTTTTTTAAAAAAAAACCTAAAGGCAGGTACACAAACCTGAGTTTTGGAAAACCTCTGTGCAGCAAGAAATCTACAAACTTAATCCAATTTATTTACCAAAAAATGTAAAGGCAGCAGCCTCATCACTGAAGAATTTAAATAGAAGACTCCTGATTTCAGCTCAAATAGGCATTAAAAGGACAAAATAGCTGAAAATCAGTTTGAAAAACACAGGTTGGAAATAAAACACAACTACTCCTTAGCAAACAAGTGATGAACTTTCCATCAAACCCAAAAAGCCCCCAGGTGTCAGAGTAGCCCACACTGCTCATCCACACCTAAAGCCATTTCATGTGGAGCTGAGCCTGGATATCATTATGGAAAGATTTTATGATTCCAGGAAGTACATTCTGAATATTTTAACATCACAGTGGAGTGATTTAGAAGCGTAAGTTAAATAACATGTTTTAAAATGCATCCTTAGTGGAAACACCACCTGTGACACTTTACCTGTCATATTTTCCTACTTTAGAGAGACAGATTTTATACACCATAAGGTTTCTGCATGTATTGCATTGTACTTTGAATAGAAAGTATCTCTTCTTTAGATATTTTGGACATTTTGTTGAGGTGTCTATCATACATTTACACCCTGGACTCATATGTCAAACGGCAAATGCCTGATGTAGTTCAGCATTTCCTCCATTGTCCATTCCCATGCTAGTGCCTGCAGGGAGTACTTGGTCCTGTTTGGGATTTCTGCAGCTTGTGACTGTGATTATTTGGTCACAAATTACACCATAATTTCAATTCTGTTGTTAATCACCATCTCCAGTTGAAACAGTGTGTTCTCCTTTCCATGATTTATCCTATTTTCTTTTAATGGCCTTAAAACATCTCAAGAAAAAGCAGCTTTTTTTGAGAAGTTCTGTTAATATTTTTTTCCTTATGCTGAAAAAATCACCTGCAACAAGTTAGAAACTGCAGCATATCAGAGAAAAGGTGAATTCAACAAAAAGCTAGCAAGTTTATTTTATACTTTAGGAAGAAAGTACCAACTTTTTGTGACACCACAGCTTTTTATATTAGGGCAGCCAAAGCTCCTCATCTCACTCATGCTGGTTCCTCATGTCCCCTGCACACAGCAGGGTTAAAGCAGTTGTGAAGTGCACACACACACTAACAAAAGTCAAGCTAAGAACCTGATCTGACATATTCAGATTTTCCAGTACAAAGTGTGCATTTGCTAATCAATTGCAAAAAAAAACCCCTCTATACTATACAATTAAAATCGTAAAATTGTTCTTCATAACATTTTATCTTGACCATGATAAATAATCATGACAATTTGCAGATTTACCTCAATTTACTGCATTAGCTTCCCTATCCAAATGTGAAATCATCTTCAATCTTCTACCAGTGTTTCCATCTCCCTCCCACTGCAGAACATCCCCCCACTTACATTTTTTTCAGGAAGAAAAATTTAATTACACTTGAAGTGTAATTTAATACACACACACCCATCTTCTTGGAGTATGAAAAGAGAGCAGTATCAGCACGGGGGCATGATTTTAAACTACTACAATCTCAGCTCAGGAGTATCTGTCTGCAGGAGTGATGCATCACCCACCCTCATAACATCCAGGAGTGGGGAAAAGAAAAAAAAAAGGAGACTAACCAAAACATAATTACAGTTTTGAACATACTACTGTGCCAAAGCTGCCACAGCTACAATAGCAACTACTCTTCTAAAAGAGAGAAACATTTAAAACAGAAGAGCATTACTTCAGGGGCATTTAGTGATTATTTTTTTAAAGAACACTAAAACTCCAGAATGTTTTAACACCCCTAACATCAGCCAGCCCACAGAATACCACAAAATGTAACATCATTTTAAAACCTTGGCTGTGTACCAACATGATACCACAACAAGAAAAACACTTTTTCCAGAGATGAGGTGCTCTCCAGAAAACAACTGCTCAGAGTGACAGGCACATATTGCAGTGCTTTTCATCACCACTGTCTCCAAAACCCTATCAGGCTGAATTCCGCAACAAACCATCCTGCTCCAGGTACCACCAGTTATGCATTTCAACAATTCCTACATCAAGCCTCCACAAATCTACACCAACAAACCTCTGTCTTCACAGAATTGAAACAACAGGGAATCCACCACATCTTGTGGCAAACCACTCTACTGCCCACGACGGGAACGACTTCCACCTTACTCCCAGCTGACTGCAGCCACCTTTTACTGCTGCCTTCTGCAGCTGTTTGCGACTTGTGTGCACTGCAGCTGGGGTAAGTTCCTGGGATAAATACAATTACTCCAGGCTTTCCCAAATTTGCCCATTTGTTAGATGTTAGTCTGATGAGAAACAATATCAAACCTTCCCTTCCAATATATAGAGGGGAAAAAACTGAACATCACATCTGATTTAAAGGAACTCCTGAAGAGCTGCAACTACTTAAGCTACCCACGACTTAAACTTTAGCCTCACAGTCTGCCTTCTAATGCCTAACTACTCTGCCGGATTTCAGATGACACTTCCACAGAACCATCCCCCGGCTGAGATGACACGCAAAATCGATTAGCTGCAGTTAACTGGTTTATGAAAACAAAAGCCTGGGGAGCGCTGCAGCCGCAGGATCCCCCCGCGGGGCAGCAACCGGCACTCGACACCAGCGGGAGGCAGGTGCAGACAGAGCCGGCTCGGCTCGGACAGCGGCCCCGGCTGCAAAACGCCACTTAATTCCACCACAAGGAGCTTTAGGACTTGAAGCAGCGCCCGGGAGGCGAGCGGGGCCGCCCGCGGGAGGCGCGGAGCGGGGCTGCCCCGGCCCCCCGGCCCTGCGGGTCACTCACCCGGGGCCCCGGGGCCCTCGCCGCCGGCCCGCCGGGCTCCCGCCGGCCCCAGGCTGTTGACGATGTAGTGCGAGA